ATGTACGTTTCTTTTTGATCGTGTAAGTTGTGTACTCTACTGTCTTGTACAGATGTGCGTTGCAGTTATCTAGATACTCGTCTCCATTGGAATATGCATCATAGCTCTAGTTGGTCATCATGCGTATCTATACAAGATGAGTTCCAGACAATTTTATATTGCGTTATAAGTCACGGTAAGTCGTAATTTTTTGGTGAAAAATGACAGTCCCCATTTCCAATCTGTACCTTCATAGTATTTAATGAATTTTTCCACCAAATCTCCCGAAAAAAAACCCAGAACTGATCCAGCTCCAGCTCCAATCAAGTTTGACCGGTGTGGAGCTCTTGGAGTTCGAGCAGCCTTTGTATGTGTGAAGCATCGAAGGGCTCTCACGGAATAAGGTCATGAACTGCAGGAAGAAACTTCGAACAATACTTATGAGTATCAGTTCAACCCATATGAGAAACAATGTAGGCTCCAATCGGTAACTGAAAGTCTTAAAGAATCTGGCCGGATTTGTGAACAAGGTAATTAGCCATGGGGTATTGCATCCCCTAAAATGTCAGTGAAGTTCAACCTCAAGTAGGTTTCCAAGAAACTGGAAATGCGAAAACCCGCAAGCACGGCGTGCATCGAATAATCAACAATCGACCTTAGATTCAATACGGGCGGAGTATTATCACGAAACGAAGCGCCAATTCGTGCTCAACTTTAGAAGGCTGGTTCGAAGTCACAAACAAAATCAAATTGGAAGCAGAGCACGAATTCCGGCTCGTTAAAGACTTCATACAACACGTGTGATACGATGCACATTTGAAGTCTGTGCTTGTGCATGCACCATTCAGGTAGCTGGAGCTCAACTCGGCAGTTGGCTACAAGCAGCCTGATGAAGCTGAACAACTGTGAAGTTTTAGTAATTATTACTCTCAGGCATATGAAAAAAGTAGAACTTCCTCTCAGCTGTGAACAAAATTTTGTCGTCATTCGTATGGCACGAAGCCGAGGGCAGCGGATATATGAAATTCACATCAATAGCTATTTGTCGACTGACAATGTAGCAGTATAAATTCTAGTCCTGACTCTAGTGGTACATTGATAGAATTGGGTGGTATTTCATTGTTCATGAATGCAGTAGTGATCCAGTGGAAAGCTCGAATTTCCAGATGTTGCTACAGTCGGTTCAGTCAGTCCGGGTATTAGTAGTAAGAGATGAACAAGGCAATATAAGATTGCTGCGGCTGCAGCTAAACAGGTTTGGAAGCTGGACGACAGATCCTGGAAAAGTTCATGGCTTGTCTTACATCCAATACTGTTCCATGCCGGCCACGGACGAAGTGTGCTACCAATGCCATGCTCATCCAATAACGTTTCTCTAGAGCAACGTCATCAGGTCCGGCTGACCCCCTGCCCCAGCCCCGCCCCCATAACCCCCCCGGAAAAGGTTATATTCCTGTACATGTAGCTCGCTAGCACTGGCTGAAGGGAGTCTAAAAGCTAACCAAAGTTTGACTGAATCCAATCTGGTTGGCTCTCTTCTTGGTCACATGTCAGGCTCCTGACGTACGCATGACGAGAGATGGAATGGCTGCTGTGCAGGTTTGTACACCAGTGTATGATCTCCGCCTTCTTTCCATGAAGCTCTGGAGCATCATGGACTCAATGTCGAATCTGTAATCTGACTTGTCAAGGTTTGCTGAGATCTGACCTGGATCGACAACCAACCGCCTGCCAGGATGCGTTACATACATGGATGCGTTGGAAGTCAACCTCGTACTTAGGGGGACGACCTTGTTTCTAAAGGAGCTCAGAACAGGGTTAATGTTCTTGAGAATCGAATCATCGTGAACATACGCAAAGGACGGACAGCATAACTGGTCTTCGAGACTATGATGGACCTTTCTCCACGTTATGATGTAGAAGACCCAGATATTTACGTAAATCAAGTGGTGATCAGAGTTACACAGTTATCTTTTGCTCAACAGTGCCTTCTTCGAGCTTCAACATCCCATTCCCGAAGCATTTTCAGACTATGTCAACCATACTTGAAATGTCGTTTGGATTCGAATTCATGTGAGATAGATTTGTTCTAAGCCAGGAAGTGTTGAAATTTACATTTCCTACACTGCTACTACATACAACAGTGTCTTGAGCTTTGAACATTTGAAGTAAACTTCGTCGCTATTTTGACAATTACAGCATTGGAAGGAGTGGAAAATATTGACATCCTGCACTCACAGTTTTTCCTTGGGAATTTGAGCATATGTTGCTCTTGCTGACTTACTTCTAAGTATATCATTTTTCACAGTCTGTCATCTGGCCCATAAAAATCCAAAATTTTTTGAAGTAACTTTTCCAGCTCCAAAAATTAGAGGAGACCGATGTGAAGGATCGCATGCGAATTCGACAGTAAATTATATGGCTCGAAGCATGAACATATGATCCAGTAGAAGATTGACTGTGACATGTTCGGAGAATGCAGATTCTCCGAACATGCATCGTTCATCGTTCATCCACACATTCTGCTTACTTATAATATACCTTGCTAACAGGCTATGTTTGAAGGTTTGACCTACTCATCCATGGAATTTCCTGTTTAGGACAGAAAGTCCCTCACCTTGAACGAATAGTGTTTTGTCGGATCATCGATTTGTTCAGTCTTCAATGTTGCTTGTGGGTTGGAGCTATCTTGTTCTTGTCTGGCACAAAAGCACTCACTTACTATACATGTCCCGACAACTGATGCTGAACTTCGTGAACATATGGGTATCTAATTCTGGATTCCGGTTCAAAGTTCTAGACGTTTGATGCATGGTATCGGCTTCGTTCGTCAACTTGATGTTTGCAAATCGACAGTTGATGGCTTGCTTATTCGATGGTCTTCGAGCCTGTTGAAGACCAGGCTCGACTAGCACGAGAATTAATGAATGAAAGATGACGGTAACTTTTTTGGAGGGTCCAGTATCATCTACATAAACCATGAGTTGGTCCTGGTTTTAGGAATAGGTGACTCTACTGTAGAGCAATTTACAGCTTAAGCTACTTGCATGCATGGACCTCATCGCCAATATCAGAAACTATCGGCCTATCATTTAGGAGTGCCACTTGCAGCGTTTCAGTTTTGCTTGAAAGCAATCAAGTGTCACTTTTTGTTTCGGCTCTAACCAACCGAAGTCAACAGGCTTCGGACCCACCAGCAAAACAGTGGACTCTTAAACACAAGTGTGTGCATCCAGTCTAAGACAATTTGGTATCCACACGTTTGGCAGATCGAGGAGGAAAATCCATCAAAAGCATTCTTTCTCATAGCACTAAAATTGGCTTGTGATGTAAGCAGTCTCGATGGACCTTATTGAACTCCTGTTTCCCCTGTACTGAGAATTTGAGTGTTTCCATTTCCAGAAGATCGCTCGAAGTTGTTCAAACCATACCTTAAAATGTTGATATCAGATTCGACTCTGATTTGAAATCTGTATTGTTTTGTAAACTTTTTGAATTGTGCATAGTAGGTAATGCAAGTAGGCAAAGTAGGAGAGACCTGACACCAAATACGAGCCTGAATACTGCTATGTAATAATGTGGAGTGGATTATTCAGGAAATAATCTTAGGAATAAACGTGAACCACTGTTTATCAAATTCAGGTTTAGCGTTGTCATATGAATTCAATTCATCCCATTTATTTACTTTAAATTCACTTCTTCATGATTCTTTTGAACTGTGATCAGAATTGCTCTTCGAAAGCATAGTCAAAAAATAAGATGAGATGACTATCATTCTTGTATGTCATCTTTGATGTTAGTGATATGAATTGGTTAGGTGATCGGTATCGAATGCATAAGTTCAGAGTTAGTTCAGAACACTGTCGAGAAAATAAATGTTTCTACTTTGAAACGTGAAACTGATGCTGTCAGAAAGAACCTTGAAATGCTGTAACCTGGAGTTTGTTATGTTCCAGGAAATACGTCACGAGTACTTTGTCATTCTGTTTCATATTACATCCCGTTCACTATATCTTCTACTAGAAGAACCAAAAATAGCAAAACCTTAACATTTAGAGCGCTGTCACTGTTAGAGTCGAAGTTTGCAGACTCCACGTTATGATCGTCCTTGTTTTCCTTGAAGATTGAAGTAGAGTGGTTCTCATAAACGTCACTCATCCCATTCTCTAGGAGATCTAAATTCATTCGTACCTAGAAACACTAGATTTCAAATTCATTAGCTATGTCGTGTTTTCGCGTGTGGCGTACTTGTTATGAGCTCAAATGAAGACCAGATTCTAAGCACATTGATAATATTTCAGGTTCTGATTTTTCGATGGTTTGCTCTTAAAGATGACTCCTTAAAGTTATTGAGTCTACTAACTAGGAATTCATGAGTGCTATATCAAAACAAGAAGACGGAATATACAACTTGGAACTAAGTAGTTTTAGTTTCCTTAGATTTTACAAAGACCAAATATAGAGCTTAGAAGAAATCCTTCACTTCCAGGATCAGAGATGATCAACTTCTCAGATCCCAAGTACATTGTTAAGATTGTTGTATAGTGTATGTGCAATGTAGAGTAGAGAGCTAGCTCACTTAGTCTTACTACTAGCGTAACAATAGCTCTGGTGACTTCAATCTTCTGGCAATTGACTCCACTCCAGGAGTCCACATGAATTGTGCTGCTTGCTGCTGTGAGACTTAACTTTCAAGAAGTAATTCAGCTGTACAGCCGTCATGCATTGTTTATTACAAGTGGAATGTGCTAGGTTTCCGGATTTGTTGTAATAGGTGTATTTTGGCTGCTAGTTCTAAATCAAGATCTTCCACAGTGAATCTCCCCAAGTTTTATTCAAAGGTAAAATGACTTGACAATCTTCAAAGAATAAATTGTTGTGATGTCATTATGAGCAGATCCGCGACAAAGGGATGCTCTCAGTATTAATGATTGTTCTCTCTTTTACTGACTCAGCCCTCAGAATCATTTATTCATGTGTATCCAAGTTACGTGTTCTCTCACCTGACTTTAGGCTGTAACAATCTTAAATTAGGTTCGGAGTTGATCTCAAGGCTACTCGTCCGATCCCGTGAGTTTATCTGCTTTTATGAACATGTACATCCGTCCTTGCCTGTATACACTCGCTTCAGAGCTCAGCTTCCATCGTTGCTGCCCCATATTAGTTGACAAGTTTCCGAGGCTCAGATATCTGATCCACAACGGTTATTTGCATTTCAATAAGAGATTTTTCAGTGAGCATGCCTAATGTGGCTCAGTCCTTGATCACGCTGGGTTCTTTGAAAGCCTAAGGACAAAATTCTGTTTGGGCGAGCTGCAGTCACCTGCTATTGTCTTGATGAAATCATCTCGTGGACTCGCAGAGGCATACCTACGGACGTGGGCTTGCCTGAAGGCGAGTAAACTTCTCCGGGGGAAAACCGCTAGATGGAGAGTACGATCGAGGATAGGTGGTCTTGGGCTTTCGAACATAGCAAACAAGACAATTTTTGAGCGATAATGGCAACGAGTCTCACAACGGCTCTCATCCCACTGCCTGGAAGAACTGTGACCTGACAGTGGACGTAAGTAAGTCACCATGCATGAATATCTCGCTGAGAACTAATCAGATCAGATAGCTGGCAATAGGAAGCGTAAAGTCTTAAGCTGCTGTTCACATGAATTTTGTATTGCATGGAGATTCTTCAGGCAGTTCATAAGGAATTTTATACTGTAACGTCAACGTATGGTGCAGGATGAACTGCTTGCTCTCCAACTGACTCTATTGTAATGATTAAGGTAAGCCTTGACTGTGACAGGGAAGATACATGCCCGTATATCATCATTCACTAGCATAATGTTGAGTGACAGACTGACAGTCCCAACCTGTACAATGGTTTATAAGGTTCGTGCTTCTTCCCTTGTGTCCTAATTTCGTTCAGAGCAACTCGAATTCTTTGCACTTTTTTCAAATTCCTATTCCGCATGAGCTATCCGCAGTCACCGCCCCAAGTTGCATTTACTTTATTCACGTAACTGTTTTTATGATAATATATAATAAAGGATAGTAGGCCTAGAGAGTTATGATTGCGAAATTCCTTTACTTGGACATGATTGGTTACTTTTCTTTGAATTCCATATGTAAAACAATCATGATGAAGTATGGTCGGAAGAAAAAATCCATTTCTCCGAAAAAAGAATGTCTGAAGTTTTAGAACATATAATAATGAAATAAAAAATTATTTATCAGATTCGGAGATATGGATTCTTTCTTTTGATTGCACTTTATTACGATTATTTTATGTATTTTGAATTTTATAGATATTATTAATATGACATTGAATTATTCAGATTCAAAAATCTGAATTGACAGTCTGAAGAGAATCAAAATATTGAACATAGAAATTCAATATTCATTCGAGTCAATTTGAATTTGGACCCATGAGAACATGCGAAGTGGACTTTGCTTGTGGAGCAAGTGAACAAGGGGAAAATTCTCAACTAAGTGGAATTCTCCGTTTTACATGACATGGAAGGTGATTTATATATAAATAAGAACTTGCGTGAATAGATTCTTACCCATGACAGATCATATTTCCAGTTTCTACGATTAGTCTAAGTATTAGAGCATCATTAGTGGGCACAGTTTACTCTAGGCTCAAACCATTTAAAATTCGTTCTTCTAGAAGTAAAATCTTCTCATGCTGTTGATCATCCCGTGAGCTAATGGGGAGCCAACGGACAGCGTAAGAGGCTGCAACTCATACTCACGCACTTCGACAGCAAATACATAGGACCATCTTATTGAGATTGGAGCCGTTTTAATAACATAATCAAGCATTCTCTCAAATGATTTTTGTCGGTCTGCTGCACATCAGTTGCCTTTCTGGGCTTTACATAGATACTTGATAGTGTTTGAAGGATTCTCACAAAAATCTGGTGTTAGGTCGTATGTTTCTAAGCAACTGAACCTATTGTCTTTGAGGCAAAGATTTTTCTCCGCTCATCCCACTATCAATCTGCTGCACAATGTTGTTTTCTACATTACCCTTGATGTAGTGCTTGTATTTCGGGAACCTATAATCACAGTGCTTCAGGATAATACTCTCTGACTGATTTAGATATGAAACATGGAACACATTTGCGAGAAACGATAAGTTTGTACAAACTGTCTTCAAGATACTACATCTGAATGGGAGAATCTGACTTCGCCTGAAGATCGATCGGTGCTTGAACAACCAGAAATAAACTGTCTACACGTGAATGTCGGCATGCGTGTTTCGAGTGTAGCTCCACCAAATAACTTACGATCCAAATAGCTGCAGACCTCTTAAGAATACCAACAACCGAGGTTATCTTTATCCTAAAATTGTGCCAAACGGGAATGTGTCACAAGCTTGAGAAACAACTCCAGGTACCCTGTAATAATCAAACAATACTGGGTTTCGCGGTGTAGTTTCCCAAACCTGCGACTCGATCCCAAGTTCACATTCACAAGTCTCCAATCACCTGAAGACATATTTCCTTCCAGACTAGGTACGGGTACACATTCCATCCATGAAAATCATCAGAGAACAGGACCTCGTCAGTGCTCATCAAGGACTTCGAAAGAGCGATGCATAGACTCAGGCCATTAGACTCCCCCACGATCCTTGAAACTTCTAAGTGTAGCATCTTAGGAATATTGTGGTGACAGACGAAGAGTTCCTCAGGAGTGCGGAGTGCGAGGTTTGAGAAAAACCCTGCGAGAACGATTGCAGCTGCCACACAAATGTCAAGCTGCATCAACGTCTGCAAGAGAGGAGAGAGAGAGAGAGATGTCGTAAGTTCAACTAACGAGCAGAATCATCAGCGTGCAATGTGTGAAAGCTATATGGATCTAAATATTTGAGGCTCACGTGCATGAAGGATACATATATAGTCCTGCACACAGCAAAGCTAGACTTCAAATCTTTCATGGATGGAATATGTCTGGATAACTGTTGAAAAGAAAGTTTCACCCAGAACTTGACAAGTTGCTAATCTGTCCGAAACGAGTTCATTATTGGGACCCAGTATACTGATCATAAGGCACTAGTCATGACAGCAAAGATATGAGAAAAGCTGCAAATCTCCATAAGCGTATCATGATGTCAGAAGTCTACAAGGGGCTAGTTTTTAAAGCATGCCGTTTTCTACGGCAATCATGATCGGTCCATAGTGAGCAAGAATTCATCTGCCAGATAAAGCTGGACGCCCTGCGATTCACAAACTTGCTTCAGAGTCGTAAAATATATACCCTCACCCGTTCTAGGCTGTCTTGGTAGCATGTGTACAAATCGATCTGTTTCTTACGATCCCAGACAATTGTTCTTACAATCTACGGGCAATCGCATGGATCGAGGATTTTTACCAACTACTGGATTCTGAACTCGATCGTACACTGACCAGGTCAGTTGGTCAATCCATTCTCCAATAGGTCAACATGGCACAGCAAGTCAACTTGCATTCCTTGCTCAGGCATCCTGGGCTGCTTACTGGATCTCTAAACAGGGCTCCGGAACCTTGAAATTGAGATCTCGGTTTGCAACTTTGCATTGTCGACCAGTCCCGCTCGGTTGCTGAGGGAGTCGGGGAAGTTGCCGCTGATGATTTTACATAGAGACATGGTAATGGATGCAGATCTGCTCTTTAAGATAGATGTCCAAGCCGACCCTTAAAAAGAACAGCGTCTCCATGACCAACCTGCAATGGTGGAGTTCTAACCTGTAGCGAGATTCTGTCAGAAAGTGCACTGCTACAAATCTACAGGTTGCTTTAGGCTTTCAAGAGCTTGCTCATTGTACTGCAAATGAAATTCGTACAAAAGCTGTCCTGTGCACTGCGGATTGGTCAAGCTGATCGTCGGGAGCGTGGAGATGTTGCAGCCTTATCTACAATAGTCGTATTTCTTGGGGGAAAGTGGCGGTGCATAGCCGACCGCGTCACCCGCACATCTGAGGTTGTGGACATGTGGAGAAGGAGTGAACATTCTAAGAAGTAAAGAGATAAACGAATGATCGGGCACGCATGTGTGACACACGCGAGCGTCAGAGCTGCCAAAGATTTCTCGAGCTGTAAAGACTTTTCCCGAGATGTCCCATGGGCCCTGGGCCCCGGTTCCCGCTGGAGGGCCCGGCCGCCCGCCTCCCTGGCCTCTCTCTGCCCTCCCTCCGTCCCTCCCTCCCTCTCTCTCTCGGAATTCTCTCTCTCTCTCTCTCTCTCTCTCTACTTCTCTGCGGCCACCCGGAGCTAGCTCCGGCTCACAGCGAGTCCCGCGACGTCGTCTTCTTCCTCGTTATGGTATTCCATCTTCTGGAACTCTGAGGTGCCACAGTCGGCCGTGGGCCATGGCTGGCTGGGCTGCATCAGAGCGGTGAGCACCCGCCAAAAGGACTCTTTTTGTTCTTGCTCACCGAGCATCTCTCATCTCGTGCACCTCCGCGCTGTAAAATTCTATCTGGAAGCGCGAATGAGCTCGACTCGCGACGAGAAGGCCAAGGCTCAGCGCACTTTCGGCCTCCGGTCAGCTCACATACTCTTCATATGCCCGGGGTGGTCAAACTGTGCATCACTCCAGCACAGTGTGGTCTGCCACATTCGTTTCTCTCCGTCACGACTGTCATGCCTCCCGTGGTGAACATTGCCGAGTGAACAGGCCCCGGGTCCCTCTCCGGACGACAAAGCGTGCATGATCCTGCCCGTCTCCAATCCAGCTACGCTGCTTCATCTGACCCACAAATCTCTCTCGATTTCCTCGCTCTGAGCTTCCGGCCTGCCATTCTCCCACCTGTATGTGACTTTTCCCCCTTCTCCGACCTTTTAAAAGCTACTACACTAGATTCCTTCTGAGTCGTTAGAACATTACCATCTGCTCCAACCACTTCGAGCATGCTTCATCGTCATGAGCCTCTTCACTCCTTTGCATGATTCGGAACCACCCTACTTCACCGCTCTATTTTTTCTCTCTTACAACTGTGGCTCTTATTTTCTCTTCCGCCTCACAACGATGCCAGTCTTGGGTTTTGAGTTCCCGATCTGGAAACCAAATTGTGTCACCCCTTCTCCCTCCAGATCTCTGACATCTTGGCACTCCACACACTCCACAGCCCATGCCATTCGCAGTGTAACAAATCTCCTTCGCTAGCGCGTCAGATTGACGTGCAATGTTGGTGACGATTCGTGTCTTCTATGATAGACCTGTGCATTAAAAAATGCAAATATTACAGTCTTAAACTCCCCATGCATCTCAACATTCTATGACAATTGATCCTCGTTCGTCTTTCTTCGATTTGTGACGTATGAAGAGTGATTTCATAACCAGACATGCAGTCAACAAACTAACGCTTAAAGATCCTGTGTACATTTGGGTTCTGAGTCATGACATCTTTCCACTTTCAGGGAAAGTGACAAACATACACAGTTCATCTGGTACATAGTTAACCCGTCAAATAACTCTCAATAGTGACCACACTCGCAAAAATATTCTGCGAAAATAAATTTTCCAAACGACAAAAAGCGTCATAATGTAAATCCCTCTAATCTAGATTAATATATATATAATTAAGTTAGCTCCTATCTTCGATACTCGATACTTGGTAAGATGTGGAGATATTTGTAAATAATGAGTGACTTTGGCAGTGTTCTAGTAGTTTAATATAATGCATGTTTATATTTCTGTCTGGGAAGTACTTTGTTACACATGATCATATACATACATATTTATTTATTCATGTTAACTATCCGTCAACCATTGTACTTGCCATTTGCATACATGATATTCCCAGCAGAAAGCAAGGTTTGTTGTATCCTGCATTGATGCAAGAGTAAGTGGATGATGGAAGTCAGTATGATTGAGGACCGAAATCTTTTGTTACCAGTAGCAGATTCAGGGGACTATATTTCTTCAGGTCAGACAGGATGCACTTCATAAAAACCAGCTTTGGAAAAGAGAGAGAATTCGAGCTGTCTCTGTGATTACAATTCGGTTGAATATTGTATTCTTTTCAATTTTCAAAGTTCACTGATTTACTCAAGTCTATAGATATCTCACATGGATCAAAACTGTGAACACCTTGACCCTCAGACTGGGTGAATAAGCTGCACTGAATATTGTGGCGGGCTTAGATACGTTAGATGAAAAAATAATAATCGCATGAATGACTCAAGTGCAGTGTTGAGTTCTATATGTGCACATAGTTTTGCTACTTTGAGGTGTGAACAAAGTTCTAAATATCTGTTATAGATCATCTATCTAGCGCGGTGGTAAAACTACGAAAATCCGAATTTTGAAGATAAAGAAATTCAAAGAGTGGGTCACCTATCACCTCCACATGAGCCCTATCATTAATGTGGTTCTCTCGAAGTGAATAGATTTAATCATATATGACCTCAAGTTTGTTTTCTGATCCATTGACTTTATTATTGCCTTGGAACTAGTATAAAGTGAGAGTGTTCCAGACAAATGTCTGCCTACATTATTTGTAAAAAAAACCAAGGAATGGCGTGATGGCAATACCTATCTGAAAGTATGTAAGCAAAGTAGGGCTACTTGAACCATATGTTTCTAATTTAAAATATGATCCTATTGAGATTGAATGCATGAAATCATATAAGTCTCCAATTGAGATTTCAAAGCTCTCCCGATGGTTGTAGATGAATTAGAATCGATCTGCATCATTATGACAAAGGGTTTGGAATAAAAAATGGTAGAAAGTGATATCCTAAAACCTAGAATTGTCGAGTCTTAACGAGATACCATTGAATTGAACTTTTTAGACTCTAGTGGAAGAACGGGAGTGATTCATTTTGTTTCTCCTGGTCCACATTTTTCAGAATAAAATTTACAAAGACATCATGATGAAAAGGTGATAAAATGCGATCTTTTTGCCGTATAAGTCAGCGTGATCTAAGAAACCTAATATTTATACCTGCTTATCTATATATCAAATGTAAAAACAAAGGAATTACATCAAAAGGACGAAGCAGTTGTCTTGCATGCAAATGATAAAATAAAATAATCTAGATTAATATTTAATCAATTCACTGCAAAGTCTATAATTGGAATTTTAAGAACTGCGTAGAATGATGTCTCTAACAATCTAATATTGAATATTATTTCATTCAGCCTGGCCATTTGTTCTTTATAAATGGCAAAAATTCTAGTGGTACACGATGTGTGATGACTCGACTTAATAGCCACTTTTCCTCCTGAAAAAATCAGCCATCCCTGCAACAAGGAATTGAGAACCGGCATAGCAGCGCAAGTCATTTTCCGTATTCCTTCCGTGACCATGATTATTATTTGTAGCTAGGTTGCTAAATCCAGTTACAAATATGTTATGTTACAAATGGAATGGGTTTATCTAACCCCATATCCTACACCCTTGTCACTGACATGTACTCTGCTCAGCAGTTCTACATTATGTGTGTCTACATCGTATTTGTAATCCCACTCTTCTTTCTCTGTTTC